TATTGTTTTGAATGAGCAAACAGTGACACCTAGTGGCTAAACCGACACAGTACCCATTACCCTGTCCATGGTCCTGATTATTATTTACAAACCTTATTTGATTAATGTTAAAATGATAATTCTTAAAATTAAAAATGTGGTTATGATGTCAGAAAGAAAGAAAAACAAAAAACAGTGCAACAGCACAAAAAATAGTTGATAAATATCTGTTCTGTTATGTTTCTGCTCTGTTTTTATCCCTATAAGGGTACCAAAGGAGTGGTTGGTGATCGAGCTGCATCAGTTCACCAAAACAGGATTTTTTTGTTCATACAGGATATGAATGAAGCAGAGAACCTTGCTGTTACACTCCATAAGGAGTCACCAGTTTGGAGGTTACACTAAAAGACAGACTCACCTTTCTGCCCTCTGTAGGTTTAGTTTGTAATGACCAATGCTAAAAAGTGGTTATAACTGATTAAAAAAAAGAAAGAAATAAAACAMTTTTGATAACTTTATGATACTAGGAGACCAAAGGATAACCGATATCTCTCAAGAAAAAAAGACTGAAATCAATGAATACTGGAAAAAAAAAAACAAGAATAAAAAATATTGTGACAATTTCTCTCAGTTCCTGTCACTAAACAGTCAAAGTGATTCAACTTTTAATACATTTCCAGTTAATTCTTCTATTTTTCCCTTTTGCTCTAAAACAGACATACATCATTTGTATGCATTTTTACTTTAACAGTTCAACTTTAAGTTAATAATATCAAAACTATGGTGTGAATAGAGTTTGTTCTGCAGGTTAAACAGATCCCTGATGCCTCCTGTTGGTGGTCTCTGAAACGTGGCCCCTCCCTGGCGTGTCCCCTGAAAACCCTCCTTCCTGTAACCAGCCTTTGCATGAATAAACATGAGACCCTGGTAGCTTTGGGACCTGGTTCGGTGTTGCCCGGTTCAGCTGGGTAGTTTTCAGGACTCCAACTCTTACCTTTCCTGCTCACAGGGAGATGATGGCTGGGGCCCCGAGTGTTAGAGGRCCCCTTCTTGTGGTTCTCCTGCAGCTTGTCCTCATTTGCTCCTCGCAAGTAAGACTTTTCATGTTTCTGTCTGTTTGCTCTGTTTGTGCCTTTAGACTGCGGTCTAGAATTACTCGTGCATCACAAGAGGAGAAKTCAAAGCATGAAACCTTATTTTAGGATTTTATCTTTTGCACGACACTGTTGAACACTCTTTAGATTATAACTAATATGCCAGCTGATAAACTTCACTGTGTATCTTCTAATAAACTATAGTGGTGCACCTGTTTTCTTTCATTGCACATTACCACTGAAGATGCATGTTGCAAAAAGTGAAACAAAACTGTATTTTTTTTTTTTTGCTGAAATATGACTTTATGATGATTGTTTTAAACAGAGGAATCAGGGACCCCCTGGTCCTCCTGGACCCCCAGGAGTCCCAGGAATTGATGGCATTGCTGTAAGTTCTGTCACTTTTGTAACAATACCCCCATATTTGTCTGGATGCTTCATAAAAACAAAACAAAAAAAATCATACTCTGTTGATTTTATTTTAGGGGGAAAGGGGGGCAGACGGCGAGGACGGGGCTCCGGTAACTACATCACAAACTATTCTTGTGCTTTCTATTCTTTCAARGAGTCGTTTGAATTTGTGGACTATGCTTGATCATAGGGACCTGATGGAGACGCAGGTAAACCTGGTTCTTCAGGATTACCAGGAATCCCTGGAAAGGATGTGAGTAGTTTGTGTTTCATGTTGCGCGTTACCTCTGCTGCTTCGTTACGATGAAGTCACCTTGCAGACTTAGAACCTGCTGGGAGGAGGAGCCAAAAGGTGAGACCCTCCCACCGTGCAGGTCAGCAGAACCTAATGAATGTTCAGCTCAAGATGGGCGGCTCTTCTTGGGGGGATGAAGTGGAAAAATGTGAGGAATTTATTCAYCAGGATGAGAAAATCCAGGGGAAACCAGTGTAATTAACTCTGACCCTGAAAGCACAACATTTCTTTTTAAGGTAAATAAAGCTTAATTTAAGATATTTTGGGGTAAAACCAGCTTATATATTTCAAAACGGTTGATGTATTTTAATCCACTGRCTCTCAACAAGGTGCTGAAAACAATAGGAGCTTTGTTGGCAGTGGTCTCTGTTTTCTTCTGTTTGGGGTCCTCAAACATGTGGGAGGCTTCCTTTGCTTGGGTTTGTTGGAAATAAGCCAGACAGGAATGTTTCCCTGCACTGCAAAAACTGTCCACCTAACCAAGTTTTAAAACCTTATATCCAGCCAAAAAGTCTTTTTGATCTTGTTTTGAGACTGATTTACTAAACAAGAACAGAATGCGTAAAATTAATAATCTTGTTATCAGAACAAATTATTTACCTTGTTACTTAAAATTTTGACTCAAATTAAGTG